CTCGCTTGTCTTTACACGGCCTCGGTCAAGGCATGGCACCATAATTTCCTGTCACTGTTCCTTATCAATATCAATTTAATTTACAAAATCTTTCCAAACTTGTTAATGTCTCCGGAGATATGAAGCTTTTCTGGCTCAGTTTTAAAAATATGTGATGAGTTTTATCTTTCCCTGTCAAAGACAACGGTCTCTTGACAAACCAACTCAAATCAAGGCCTGGAACACAAACGAAAATACATTTGGAAGTTTATCCCCACAATGGTCATAGAGATTTTTTTAAAAAAATGTTTAGCCTTTCTTTTATAAGGTTTTGATACTGGTGGTTGTCAACCACTGGGCCACGATCGATCCTTTGAACACTGGGCTGTAGAAAAAAAAAATAGATACAGCTATTATTTTGAAAATGAAAAATTGTCTCTCCAATTACAAACACCTCCAGACACACTGTGAGTTATACTGATTAATATGCAATGGTTACTGGTGAGCTTTACTTCTTAAGTGTTCTCCTTTGTTTTAATATTGTTTTTATCTTTTTGCCTTTATTTTCACTGCACCTTGCCGACTGTTCTGTCAGAATATTGGCTGACATGAAACTGGTCTGTGGTGTAAAAACATCTCTGCTCCAACAGAACTGTAGGGTTTTTTTGAATATCTCGGAGGCCAACCTGTCAAATGTCCTTTGTTTCATTGACTCTGTGAATAGGGTCATTTGCATGTGGATGTCTGAGGCCTGGACTAACACATGGCTTCATGAGCTGTGTGGTCATCTGTTCGATGTCATTAACAACAACCTTGTTTCTTCCGTTTATGAACCAACACCTTAGGATGTTTGAGATGAACACTGTCTCTGCTCCTCTCTGTCCACACATACTTGTGTCTGTGCGGCTGCATTAAGCATGTGTAACGCCATTGACATCACACGTTCCTCTCGTTGTATTTGATTGTCAATTCAAAACATATGATGGTTTCTGATGCTGAGAAATGCAAGGAGATTGGAACCAGGAGAATGAAAAGCTCCTCTCTGTGCTTGGTTAAATACATCTCTCTTACTTATTAGTTCAAACAGTGAATGGTTTTTTCATGTACTCATTCCATCTTTGTCCTGTACAACCCAATCCCCCACCTCCCCTATAGGCTGATGAGCGGTACCGTAAGAACATTCAGGGATCTCCTCAGGCTGCCCCTCCTCCCAAGCAGCCCCCTCTGCCTCCCCGCTCCTCTGAACCGTTCTCCAATGGTAGCTCCTCCTCTGAGGCCCCAGCCATGCAGCGACCAATGGAGCCTCAGGTAACTCCTCCCTCCTGTGACCTATGTCCTTTTGCCTTGCTTCTCCTTCGTTGGTTCAGCTTTTCTGACACAGTGTGTATGTTTATCATTTCTCAGATCCAACTGGCAACGTTTAAACCTCATATCATCTCTAAATTTTGTCAGGAAGACAATATTGATAGCAAAAACAGCAGACTGTCTGTCATCTAAACCTTGAAAGATCAGTAAGAGAAACATGTCAAATAAGCTTCGTACCAGGAAAAATGTGGATTTTTTTTTAAATTGATAGCTAATATAAGAAAATTGATCAAATCAACCTGATTCAAACTTATATTTTTAGACAAAACATAACTCTCTAGCTGCCTACTGTTTTTGCAAGTATGACAAAAATATAGCAGTACCAAGAGTACTCGAGTCCAGGACTCCTGGGGGTGCAGTGGTTGCTTAGTGGTTAAGGAAGCGAACTTGGTTTCGGAAGGTTGCCACTGAGGTGCTCTGAGGATGCCACCGTCCCCACACACTGCTCCCCGGGCACTTAAAGCTGCCTCCTGCTGACTTTGGTGATGGGTTAAATACTGCGGTCGCATTTCATTGTGTGTCCAGTGGTGTGCTGTGTCACAATGACAAATAATTCACTTAATTAAAAAAATAATCTTATCTACCAGCCTCCACCTCTTCATACTAAACAAGGGTGTTTGTATTTTATGTATTTACCCACAACAATGTGAAGAGAAACACACTTATTCCCTTGTGTCTCACCTCCTCCCCCTCCTCCTCCTGTCCTCCTTTTCCCTCCCTCTTGCCCTCCCCTGAAGGTCCAGTGGTCCCACCTTGCTGCTCTAAAAAGCAGCAACAGCGCTGCTCCCTCTCCTCCTCCTCCTCCTCCTGTTGTGTCTCGCTCCCAGTCCTTCAGTGAATCTGGCAGTGTGACCTCTAGCATTGCTCAACTCCAGCTGCGCTCCCAGGACCCCCACCATCACCACCACCACCCATCACCTGCACGCACTGACCCCCAGCCCCAACCACCCCACCACCACCACCCTCAGGCCCAGACCAGGGTTGAGCACCAGTCTAGCATTGAGGAGGTGCCACCCAAGGTAAGGAACTGATGAGGTCCCAATTTGTGTCCTTGACCGTTTCTTTCTTGCTCTGCTTTATCTTCCCATCTTTCATTCAAACACTGCTACGTTTTAACAACAGTAGCAAGTTTATCTACAGTATTTTTTTTACCCTTTCAATACAACCTTGACGTGTTCTGTTTGACTTGGCAGGTTTGGAAGATGTTTTTCTATCAGTGATTGCTACTGCACACACATACACATCTGATGGCTAAGACTTGTTTCCTAATGTGTCCCCTGCAGGTACCAGTGAGGACTACATCCAGGTCTCCAGTGCTGTCCCGCAGAGAGTCTCCTTTGCCATCACAGACTGGAAACCAGGGGGTGCAGAGGATTGCTGGAAGGTTAGTAAAGAGGTGTTTTTCAATACTTTCTTGTGCAAATGATTTTGGACTTTATTTGAAGACGCACACATTCAAAACTGCATGTTTCAAAAGTTATCTAGGCTTTGGGAGATGTGGTTTAGCATTGATTGTATAAATTTCACCTGTCTCACCTGAGACTTCCTGTGACTGTGATTCTTCTTGCAGTAATGTGGAGCAGCGCCCTCTGTGGGACCGCGTGGAGAAGCTGCAGCCTCGACCCGGCAGTGGCAGTTCCTCTGGCTCCTCCAACTCCAGCGCTCAGGCCAGTCCTGCGGACCGCTTCAGGCCCCGTTGTGAGTCCCCTGGTATTGTACACACAGCTGCACATCACCATTTACTCACCATTGGTTTATCTGGATTCATTAAGGGCAATCTTGCTGTCACCATACTGTGTCTCCCTTCATTAACTAAAAGTCTTAGGTTAACATTGAAATAATATTTATACAATAAATATACATTTATGAAGAAACTATTTGAAAAAAAAACCCTCTTTTCTCCTTTATTTAGAAAGAAATACACGCTTCTGAGTTTTATTCTCTCTTTTCTTCTCCAAGCTTCCTCCAAATCTGAAGGATCTCCTCTCCAAAGACCAGAAAATGTTTCCAAAAAACAAGATGAAAAGAACCTGGTCAGGCCGACTCGACCTGCGGTAAGTCCACCATTGTTAAACTTAAAGCTCACTCAGATGTTTCTTTTTCTTTTTTTTTTCTATTCTACTTGTCATTTATTTTTATGTTTTCTTGTAATTCCACCACCTGATGTGTGTGATGGTTGGTGATTGGGATTCTGGGCGTCTACGTTAGGGTGATGTGGTAAGATTGTTAAATGAGATCACACTGTCACATCTCAGTCATGCCTGCACCACTTATTGCACCACGTTCTAAAATGTGATGTTAAGGCTAAATTCACGTGTATGAATTCATTCAGGAATGTAACATAATCACCTTGTGCTGGCAGTTTCCCTCATGCCTGCACAATTATATTGCTTGACACTGACAAAAACCCACACGGCACTGGAAGGGTTACACGCTCTGCACCTGCTTCCTGATCCTTAATTTGAATGTGGCTGGATTTGAATGCAAACGCACTGCTTTTGTTGCCTTGTACTTGCCTGAAAGACTTTTAATCTTCCCTGCCTTTTACTGAACATACAAGACAATATTAGACCGTAAAGAGTTTGATTATTTTTTAAGAAAGTCCATTAATGTGTTGCCTCAACACAAACAGCACTGACTGCTTAAACTGCTGTGTGAAAAACCCTGCTGCCATGGCAACCTGAAAGCCAACCTAACTCAACCTAACTCTTTTACCTCACCAAAAAACTCACAGGTTGAGATGTCTCATAGGTAAAGTTGGAGAAGGTGTTGATGTCTCAAATATGCCATCTCACTTTTAGAGATATTTTTCCTGCTGGATACTAAAAGCTGCTCTGCACCAAACTAGGAAATAACAGAAATAACAGAGATTTTAACTCAATGAAAGATGAGAGCTACAGTTCATTGTGTTCAGATTCTTCAGTTACTGAAGGAATTGGTTTGTGTCACGGACCCAAGTCAACAAAGAGAATATCAAAAATGTAGGTTTAAGTGGTATGTAGTGTAATGTCATAGGTTTTTTATTCTCTTTGGACGAGAGGAGAATGTAAAGTCCTCAGTTACTGAGGAAAAAGTGTTTGTTTAGAGGAAACATAAGAGGATGGGATTTATTTCTGTGATCATATTTCCTCAAAGAATACCATTATTAAAAAAGTATCTGTGCAGATAAAATAATAATAAAGTCAGAGAAATGGCCACTTAATTAATCTTTCAACAGAAGGTGGTCTAACAGCAGGACAAAGTAGAAAACAACATCCCAAGAAAGTGTAGGATAGTGCTCTTTGTTTTCCTATTGAAGGCCATGTTATAGTGAAATCAGACTGTGAGGCCATCACTGCACGTGTTTTGTGTCAATGTCTCACAGAACCACATTAAACAGTCTCTTTAAATATCTTGGTCAAACACTTGGCATTTCTAAGACCTCACCCTTGTTCCTTTCAGGACCTGACTGCTCTCGCCAAGGAGCTCCGTGCTGTAGATGATGTGCGGCCTCCTCACAAAGTCACCGACTACTCCTCCTCCAGCGAGGAGTCGGGCACCACTGACGAGGAAGATGATGAGGAGGTGGATCAGGAGGCGGGAGAGGAGTCAACCTCAGGAGCAGAGGATTCTAGAGCTGGGTAAGTCTAGGATCTTGTAGATTGAAGTTTGAACTTTGTCAAATCTGTGGGTTGAGCCTGTTTATGCTTATGACATGAAACCCCCGTCAGTTGTACATTTTTGAGCTGTGCATGACTTCACTGCATGACCATTAACACTGGTCTGGTTATGGACATCAGATTTCCTCATGGCTTCCGCAGGAGGCTGAGTAATGGGGAGACGGAGTCGGCCAAGACAATGCTGGTGGAGGATTCTGAGAATGAACAAGTGACTACACCCTCCAAGGACGGCACTCTGGTCATCAGACAGGTAGGAGATAAAACACATCTTTTAAATTTGTGTTCAATTGCAGTCACTGCAGACTGATTTCAGAGCCAGATATGGAAATAAAAGTTTTATCCAACATGCAGAGACCTAATGACTTGATGTGGATGTCATGAGTCGCTGCAAATGTCTTGGAATGACAGCTCTCTGATTAATCTGTAATGAATTTATGTGAATGTGAAATAAGTATAATTATGTCGTAAAGCTGCAGTCACCTCCATCCTCTCTCCACCTTCCTGCCGGAGCCCACAGTTTGCTTGTTTTTGCTTCCAGAGCACTGCTGAAATTAAGCGGTTGGTCAGTCTCTCGGCCTCTGCTTCAGCCGGCTCTGGCTCTGGCTCTGGCTCTGCCTCTGCCCACAGCCTTGGGCTGCCACTGCCCCCCAGTCACGGGCTGCTAGAGAAAAATGGCTACCCAGGTCGCATACACCACCTTCCAGACCTTATCCAGCAGAGCCATCACCCTCCTTCCTCCACCTCCTCCTCCATGCCTCCCTCCTCCTCCTCCTCATCCTCCTTCCCCTCATCATCTAGCCATGCCAGTCCTGCCATGTCCCCACAGACCCCCTTGGACAAGCTCACTGCCATAGAGGTATGTCCCCCTCATGTCCACCAGGTCAACAGTAATAGATTGGACGGTGACAGGTGGCGACGCCTGCACAGGCAGGACAGATGATTCAGCTGTGTTCACCTTGTTGCTACTTTAGCTTGAACTTATGATCAGTGAGGGGTTTTGTGATTATTCTAGGAAAGTACAAACATTGTGATACAATTCTGAAAAAAAGTACTACTAATAAAGACGCCATAGTGGTTTTACCTTTATTGGGAGAATTCTAAAAAAAATCCTAAGTATTTAATGCTGGTAAGTAGGTTCTGCTATCCTGCTATTTTCAGTATTACAAACCTTGAAAGAATTACCCCAGTGTTGCAAAAGTATTTTTTTTTACTTCAGTGGTTCAACTCCTGAAGTAGTTACAACTTTCAGCTTAACAAATATAATAAAACACTGAAAAACGTTCCAGTGAGGAATGCATACCAAGATTATACCCACTCACCGTCCAGTCTTAGATTGTTGGACCCTCTCCCCGTCTTCCCCTGCCTCCCCCCTCTCTCCCTTCACTCTAACTCTCTTTGCCCCTACTGTCCTGCCTGCATCTGGTTTAAGTCTGCTTTGTGGCTGCGCCTTCCCTTCCTCCTGCTCTTCTCTGCTAACACTGGCGCCTCCTGGTGGTAGAACGTTGTCAGGTCAATCAAACCTTGGTCTTCCCTGGATGAACTGCAGAAACACCTTTTGTAAGGAGTTGTAGCAGCTCTGGTGCTCGTCTCTGACGTTTCTATAAAGCAGTCAGGACCATGGTGCAGGACTTTTCCATCTTCTCTGCTCCTGTTTTGTTAGAAGCAGATGTTTTTTGTTTTCTCTCTTCACAGGGCTTGAATCACAATTTACCTTTCACACTTAACAAACCACTAACACCACTGCACGTTGTCTTTGCTGTTTGGTTGTGACAACTTTTTTCTTCCCTCTGTTTGTTATAAAATGTTTTATTAGCTCTCACAGACAGAACTGTAGTTCATGTTTCTGTTGTGGTTTAACTCCACAAACAAGTTATTTTGTCTCAGTTAAAAATAAATGAATCAAGTCTTCTTGGCTACATCTGAAGGCAGAATAACTCGTCTGTTTCTACTCTTGTGGCTAAAGTTTCAGTTATTTGGGGTCTTATGTGTAATTATGTAATTATGTGTCTAATTCTAACAAATACCTTTCAGTCCCAGTCAGAGAACAACTCCATGTCCAAACACAAGTCTTCCTCCTCCTTCACCCCCTTCATTGACCCACGTCTTCTTCAGATCTCTCCTTCCAGCGGCAGCTCTCTCAACAACATGGGTATTTAAAATAAATAAATAATATTAAAAATATGAAACATTATTACACATTATTGCATTTCTCACAACAAATTGCTTTTGGAGATCTTTCAACAATCACAAATGGTGAACTGTGTTTCCTGTAGCCGGATTTGGGCAAGATGGACGCCTGATGGACCCACTGAGAGCCGATCCGTCTCGAAAGGGCTCAGTTGTCAACGTCAATCCGGTAAACACTCGTCCACCCAGTGACACACCAGAGATTAGAAAGTACAAGAAGAGGTTTAACTCTGAAATCCTCTGTGCCGCTCTCTGGGGTAAGTGTAAGACTATTGACATTTTGGTGAACATCTTTTCTACTCGTGCTTATGTTTTATCTGTTACTGTTTCAGGGGTGAACCTGCTAGTGGGGACAGAGAGTGGTCTGATGCTGCTGGACCGAAGTGGTCAGGGAAAAGTCTACCCATTGATCAGCAGACGGCGAATCCAACAGATGGATGTTCTGGAGGGACTCAACGTCCTGGTCACCATATCAGGTAGACAGCCAATGTTACTTTGTGTTTAATATAAACACACTTTACAATGAAACAACAAGTGAGTGTTCTGACAGAGGTGTGTTGTCTCGTGCTGCTCCACCTGCAGGTAAAAAGAACAAGCTGCGTGTTTACTACCTGTCATGGCTCAGGAACAAGATTTTGCACAACGACCCTGAGGTAGAGAAGAAGCAAGGTTGGGTCAACGTGGGCGACCTGGAGGGCTGCGTCCACTATAAAGTCGGTAGGTGTCATTATCCACTGCATTTAAGGAGAAGTTTAACTTGACTAACATTGTGTGGTAAAGTTAAGTTCAGGTGGCAGCACCTTTAAACTGCTCTGTCTTTTGCAGTGAAGTATGAGAGAATTAAGTTCTTGGTGCTGGCCTTGAAGAATTCTGTGGAGGTTTATGCCTGGGCTCCAAAGCCGTACCATAAGTTCATGGCCTTTAAAGTAAGTGTGTTTTATCAGCAGTTTAAGTTTGTTACTTCAAAAAAGTAAAACTTCTTACTTCTCTGAAAAAGTACCTGGGTTAGTAAAGAAGTTACATTACAGAATTATCTGTTCTGATAAAACAAAATTTCTTTAATGTTATTCCCACCAGTTTTAGTGCATCAGTCATTATGGGTCAAAACACTTATTTGTCATGTTTGGTTGTTGGACACCAACTGTGGCTGACGCTGTACTTACTTCACTGTGTGTCTTTAGTCTTTTGGTGATCTGGTGCACAAGCCTCTGTTGGTTGATCTAACGGTAGAAGAGGGTCAGAGGTTGAAGGTCATCTATGGGTCCAGCTCTGGCTTCCATGCCGTGGATGTGGACTCTGGGGCTGTGTATGACATCTACCTGCCCACACATGTAAGAACTCCACTAAATTATTCAAAACTACTGTTTTTTGTCCTGTAACTCATCGTTGAACTTGAACCATTTCTTCTCCTCCACAGATCCAAACCAGCATCCAGTGCCATGCCATTATCATCTTACCAAACACTGATGGAATTGAGCTGCTTGTGTGTTACGAAGATGAGGGTGTTTATGTCAACACTTATGGACGCATCACCAAGGACGTGGTGCTGCAGTGGGGAGAGATGCCGACTTCAGTGGGTACGTATTTAAGACAAGACGCCACAGTACAATATGGTTCATGACAGAAAAAAAAAAAAAAGGTTTCTTTTTGACTGACTTAGTTTTACAACAGTTACATCAGTCTCCACACTGCGTTTGTTCAGCCTACATTAGGTCAAACCAGATCATGGGCTGGGGTGAGAAGGCTATAGAGATCCGCTCTGTGGAGACAGGACATCTGGACGGTGTCTTCATGCACAAGAGGGCACAGAGACTCAAGTTCCTGTGTGAAAGGAATGACAAGGTGAGAACACTAATGTATATTGAAAGGTTTTAACTTTTGCACTCCAAAACTGTAGTTCAAATCATTGTATCTGACAGTGTTATGTTTCCATTCTTACGTCCTCCCACGTTCTAATCGACTAAACACAAACCACACACACATTAAAGCAATTATTCAAAAAGTCAGCCAGTCTGACTGTTGTTCATGTTGTTCCCTGCTGAGAAAACAATCCTTAAACACGCTAGGCTTCCTCACATGGAGAACATGGTTGCCAGGGCAGACAGGAAAGGTTCTCATGGATTGAATTTGGACACAGCTAACATTTACACTTGTTCCCTCATCTGTCAGGTCTTCTTTGCCTCAGTGCGGCCTGGAGGTGCCAGTCAGGTGTACTTCATGACCCTGGGTCGCACATCACTCATGAGCTGGTAGATGAACGTCAAACAAAACCCGCCAACATTATCAACCACACCTTAGAAGTGACCAACAGATGCTGGTTGTGACAACAACGAACACCGATGAAGATGAGAACAGCCTGGAGTCGGAGCTGCATAAGCCTCTGTGTGGAGGGAACCACAACAAACGAACCAATAGATTGTGCTGTATTTACGAAAATAATCCAAGGATGGCTGTGTGTTGTTGCGTGTGTCCACTCAGTCCACTCATTTTACTCTTAAAATATCTTCTGCCAACACAAAAAAATCCCTTCAATCCTGCAGCTTCGTTGCCAACCCTCTTAAGCAGAACCCACTTGTCCTCTTGTTCTGTTGGACATGGGATCTAATGCCTGTTGACGGTAAATCTTTGTGTCATAGTAAACATTAAAGTCACATACATGTGCAAAAGAGAGAATGGTTAAGCATGTGAGTGACGGACAAAAAGCATTCATCCTGATGGGACGTCAAGGTGAAACATGACGATGATGTGCCACACTTAGAGATGTAGCAGTGTTTAGTCCAGAGCTGATGTGGGTCAGGTTAAAGGTCCACTGTGTACAGTTTAGTCTCCACACAGGCATAACATCCCTCTGAGATGTATCTAGAATTGTGGTGGTGACAATTCTCATCAGCTGATGATGGCTTACTTGGTTTATTGGTTTCTCATCCGGTTTTCTCGATGTTTTCTTGACAGAGACGTTCTTTTCCGTTTATGACCTGATCCTCTCCTTCCAAACGCGGACACAAGACAGTTGGTCCAATAGGCTGCTGGAGAAAAGTGTCATTTTATGTTGGTCTCTCTGTACACCAAGACCTTTGTCTGAAGTACATGCAACAGACTTATTGTAAGGACATTTATGTGTATCTAAATGCTACACACTGGACCTTTAACTTTTGTCCCTCCTTGATAGTTCCATTTCAAGCACGTGATAAAACACTAGTCCACAGTCACAAACCTTCCTTAAACCTTAATTGAGGCTTGACTGGTAGAACTGCTTGTGTCTTCACTTTGTCGGCCTTTCTCCCCTAAAAATGGGGGTTGTTTTTTTTAAGGACCTTCTTCTGTTGATCTTTCCATGAAATACAGGGTACTAGAGATCAGCTTGTACATAACCAACTACACCAACCTTCTCCTGGCTTCAACCCAACACTTTCCCAAACACATCGCCTCGAGTACTGTAGGTCATGTCTGACACAAGTAGCCCTGTTTATGACAGCATGTTTGGTGTTATTAACAAATATAGCCCTGTTGTTTTTTTTTAACTACACTGTATATTTGCTATGTGACTTGCTGCAAACGATTACGCAGAAGCAGACAGGACACTCCTGTAAAAGAGTTTTAAAGGAAGAATCAACCTTATTTATCATCAGACTCTCGTGTGTTAGGATATATCAGGAGAATTTCCACCAGTGGATTGTTGCAATTTCAGCCAGTTACAGTGTTGTGGTACAGTCTGCTTTAACAACAGTCTACTACAACTAATCAGACTCAGAAATGTGATGTTCTTCACTGTTACCTGTTATTTATCCTCAGGTGGATTTTGCCTTTAACATCACAATGTCAGAAGTAGGGCTAGAAAAACTGTGAATTAGCAAAATTAGCAGATGGCCATTTACGTAGCATGGAGGCCGATGGGCAGAAATGACAGTAAGGGAATGATGTGCATCCGTGTCACTGAGGTGTATTTGTGTAGAAACGTTGAACATGACACTCCACACACAGAAGGCGACATTGATTGTCCATAGCTGAGGATTCCGGCCTCAACTGCTCAGATCCCCAATCATCAGGGAGCAGTTAATAGTTGCCTTGGAAGTGTCTCAGTTGAACTAATATTAACAACACCCTGAGCCCTCAGTAATTAGTTAAAGGATTTGCTTTTTGTGTGGTTAGAAAACATTTGGCTGTCACTTGGGTTTTTTTTCATTATTCTGTTACCTTTGGATTTTTTCTTTCATTTATTTTACGAGTTCATTCAGGCATAATTTGGAAAAAACCCAAATTTCGTCATGTGACTTCACATTAGACACATTTTCTTCAACAATGAAAATGTTTTTCAGTCACTTACCTCAGACTAGACTGAAAAGATTCCTTTAACTGGAGAAATAAATCCTTAATTTGTGGAATTTCACTCATTGGTTTTTACTGTCCTTCCTCTGTCATCCACGGATTCTCTGGTTTTTTTGTCTATATGTTGAACATCCTCCTTATGTTTGACTGGTAAAATGCCACATCCGTTCTGTAGTACAGCAATTATCTAATAAGAGAGGAAAAATGTTGAATGAAAACCACACCGCCCTCTTCAGGTAAATTCTTCTCACTGGTCCAGATAGTGTGGTGTCTTCACTTTTTCGTGGAGGAACCGACAGATGTCTTCATATGGGAAACAAGACGTTGAAAGAGAAGGAAGGGAAATTAAATATCCTACGTTCAGTGTTGCAGTGTTACAACGACAAAAACTAAGCAGCATATTTTTTAAAAACTCGGAATTAGTTTTTAGTCTTGTTTCTACATTTTTGTTGTGTAACCCATCAGACAAGTATGCGACTGCAGTGTTTTTTATTGTAATAAAATTATGTTGACAATGTTTACAAGAGCAACTCGTTTTGTTAAACCAATGTGCATCAATATAAATATTTATGGTTCATTTTGGGGGTGTTTTCCCCCCTCTCTTGTATTTTCTATTATTCCTTTTGTAATATCATTTAGACGTTTGTGTACTGGAGTAATGAACGTAAACTGACATCACGTTATACACAAGTTTAGAGTGTGTGGTTTTGTTTTGTTTTGTTTTTTTAACAGATTTACTCACATTCTGGTTAGTGCAGTGTGCCCTCCGGCTGTGTTTGGTGTGGATCAAATGTTTTCTACCTGCCATGTGACATTTCCCCCCTCAAACATCGTCTCTCTGCCATGCCTCTAATTTATGTCCTCTCTGTGTGTGCTATGGGAATTACTGTATTTTCCTGAAGGTCTTTTTTTCATTGAATAAAAAGAAATGTAATTTACAGTGGGTGTCCTACACTGTTTTTATCACATGTTTAAACGTAGAAGGTTGGAATTAAAGCTGTACTCCTTAAATCTATTGTTATTTCTGACTATACCTACTACGAAAGATTTTTGGTCGAATATACTGTTTTATTGATAAGTTTATTGATAAATACAATATAATTTTCCCCAGGGTTGTCACAGGAAAGTAAACGTATTTTTATACTCCATATCCTCGTTTTTATTGAAATAATCATTAAACTACACAAGAAAATCCGATTATTCTCAAAATATCGAAGATGTAGATGTCATGTAGAACTATTTTACCAAAAATATAGCACAACTGTATAATTCATGAAACGTGTAGTCGCGCCACAATACAATACTAAATATTTAAAAACCATATACACGATATACATATTTATAAAGATGCAGGAAACAGCAAAATGACTCAATTGGAAATACGTATTAACATTATTTATCGAAATCTTAAACTTTTTAAAAGTGGAAAACGGAAGTTACGTAAGGGAGTTTGCGTTCATGCAGAATTCGACTTCCGGGTACTCGTTGTGTTGCCCCTTTTTACTTGGTTAACACAAAGAGAATGTTTGCTCAATAAATGTGTCGCATATAACGTATTTAATGTCCTCATATAATTAAAATGTATTTCAGTATACAAGCTTCCTTCATATTTAAACGTTAGTCAATACATTGAAGCGACGCTAAAGCGGAAGTTACCTCCTCGCTGTGTGTAGCGGCATTGACGCAGCTCAGCTGGGTCACGCTGCAGTCCAGCCCGGATGTTTTGTACCGTCAGTATGTGATGGGAACATTTGAAGGCCGCTTTGCTCTACATTGGTCACGAAGCTGTTGAGTTCTGCGCGTCTGCTGCTTCGGGTGAGTACCCACTCCACAACCCCAGAGAGCAGACACACTCGGCGGAATCAGCCGCAGGTTGGTGTCGGCGAAAGCTGCAGGGAGGTCGTGACGGGGATTGTGTGCAGTGACCGTGCACCCTCCCGTGCGGGCTCATTCTCCCTTTCCCTTGCCAGGGAAGGCACAATTGTAGGATTACTTTGAAAACAGTTATTTATAGTTAATTTTGGTACATTCGTGTTGCCGTCAAAATGGAAGAATTGTTGTAGTGTGAGGCGAAGGAAGTCAGTCAAAAGTACTTGGAAAATGAGGTTAACTCTCCATCGATTTGCAACCTAAGTGATTATTTTTCCTGAAAATTGTATCGTTCAGAGCTTAGGTCGTTTTGCTTTTATAGGATTTGAGGCTAAAGTAAATATGTCAGAAGTAGAGTCAGAAAATGAAGGACAACACAGAAGGAAAGTTAAGATGGTGGGTCTCAGTGGGTCAATTGGAATTGTAAATACCTGAAACGGGTAAAATCAGCTAGTATTAACATCAGTTAATGTTTTTGAGTCTTCTATGTGCAAAATTAATGATTGCCTGAGATGAAACACTTTTTGGCAAGTATGTTTGCTTTAAATAACAATCCCAACATGACTTTTTTGTCAAAGTAATTTATTTACATATTTGTATGTTGAATGTACTTCAGTATAAACTCTCATTTGGCTGTCATTTACCTTTTTCAGTACAGGAAGCAGTCTGTGGGTCAGGAAAGGGGTCAGAGAGGTCATGCTGTGTGTAACAGCCTACTGTGAGGCTTTTATAATTTAGTACTTTTTCAATTACAACAAATACTGTTGTAATTGTTGTTGTTGGATTTAAAAAAAAAATACTACTACTAATTTTTCTTACCTTTAAACTATTTATGTAGTCGACAACCATAGCTTAAATTTGTTGCACACTTCCCATCCTCCAAAGTGAAAAAGGATCATTCTGTCATTGCTGGGAAGCAGCACACACCTGTCTGTTGCAACAGATGGCCGACAGCACGCTCATCTGTCTGTGTTTGTGGATGGTGTTATCGCTCAGCTGCTGTGTTTTTTCCTCTTGATTCTCTTATCTGATTGGTGAGATGACTCAGAGCCTCATACTTATTTAATCAACCAGTTGTTTCTCTGACCAGGCTCGAAGTGAAAATAAATTATTTTACTTTGTGCTGATCACACACAGGCTACCAAGAAACCTCTGCTGCATATATGAGTTTTACAGTCTTATAATACCTAAAGGTTGATCAGTTTTACTACAACAACAGTGTGTTTCCTGCTGTTATTGTTGTTCAGTTGAAGACATTGTGTATTCACTCTTTCTCCAAATAGGTCCAAACATGTTTGGGAAGTAGTTCTTAATATAAGAAATACTTTAAATAGCATTATTGTCGTTATTATCATAATACTTTATATATATTTTAATTAATGCAAATCCAAATCATTAAAATTTCTCCCGGCTCTGTCACATAAAAGGCCGAAAAGCAAAGATTTGTGCTTCCGAGTCATCTGCCCAAAGTGTGCCACAACAATGAGGAGCACATCCCCTCCTGGTCCTCATGTGGACGTAAAACTTTTTTGATGTTCCTTGCCCCCCACACTCTTCCTTTGAGCCTTTCAGTCAGGCCACACTCTCCTTTTCCTCCTGCACTCTCTTAAAGGCCACGGCGTCCTTTCAGCCAGACTCGCTTCTTTTCTTTCTGTTGGAGCCTCCACCCCCAGCCCTACACAAAGGGAGGAGGGTGATTGTGGCGCTCTGCAGCCAGGTGTTCTCCACTGCTGCCCTGGGCTGTAATAGCAGCAGCCCTCATGCTGCAGCTGCCCTCCCCAGCCTCCCTTTGTGTGGCTCTATTGTTTGGACGCCCACCCCTCGTTGATTCATCGGCCACACAGGGGTAGAAGCAGGACGACTAGAGTGTGTGTGTGTGTGTGTATGTGTATATACGCGTGCCTTGGGGAAACTGGGTGATACAAGGAGGCAGTTGCCCACTGCCTCGCCCCTCCTCCCCCCTTCTGTCCCAGCATCGCATTGTAAAAGGCCTCAGTGCTGTGATTGGTGGAGAAGCTGCCACTCCAAACGAGGGAATCACAGACATTGTTGGTCCATCTGTTCTGCTGCTGATTGTCCAACTTCTCCTGCCGCCCAGGACATCACCAGTACACAGAAGACAGAAGAGCTCTTCTGCAACTGGATGTTGCTGTTTGCTCCAGCTGCAGCTCAAACTAACAAGCAATTGGAAATTAGTGGCTTTGGAGTGGATTTTTTTGTTTCATTTCCTTTAACTGGATCAAAGTATGCCGAGAAGTTTAAGGAAGTGTTGACAATTTTTTTTTTAAATGCAATATTTGCTGACTGATGTGAAAAGTAAACTTTTTTTTAAATTTGTGCTTCTGGTTTGGAGCTCCATCTCATAGACTAGGATTTGCTGAGTAATAACAGCAGCCGTGGTAACCTGAACTGTCAGGTTAAATGTGAGGAAGTTGGCAGTCAGCAAAGAGTCTTTAGTCTGTGGTTTTTAGAACTGACTGTGATACACCTGGAGAAACTGTGACGCACAGGACAGATTGTGCTTCGTCTGGCTGGAAACCACAGTTTCCACGAAGTCCCTGCACACAGAAGTTGTTGATCTGCTGCTGCCTTTGTTGGTGAGTTTAAATGTGTTTTTTTAGACTTAAATTAAATTTGCTATAGAAACACAGACTTGCTGCATAACATAACATAACTTAACCTGTACTTATGGTGTTCTTGTACACTAAAACATTTTTATCAATGGTAGAGTATAGAATAATTTGCAAAATAAAATAAATGTCCCATAAACACTTTGTCAGTGGATGTTTTTAGTAGTATTTATCTCTAGCAACGCTGCGCTCTGTCTGTATTTTCCTTTCTCGTTGTGACATAATTGCTATTTTAATGAAGCCAGCTGCAGTTAAACGCAAAAACAAACTTGAAAAGAAATGGATCAGGATCAGTTCAATACGGAATTATTAATACTGATTATTCTAAAGTATAATCTGTAAATCAAGTCTTTGTATCATATAATTCACTTTTAAGATGTTTATTTTGTATTTGGTGCTGATAATTTGTGGTACTTCACACCATGTGTAGCTGCGTGTGTGTATATTGAGCTCGCATTAAGTTGGCGGTTATTTGTGCGTCTATGGGTTTGCAAACCTTCTGCAACGTTCATCTGAGTGTGTGTGTGTTTGTGTATTTGTACACACACACAGTACATATCAGTCCTGTCCTCCCCCTTCTCTTGTCACTCTATTGGCTGTGTGTGTGTGTGTGTGCAAGGGGGCGACGTAGATTTTCAGTAACCACTCAGCAGACATCTGTTGTCCCGCTGCTGGGGGGAGAGCCCAGCCCCTACTGATTATTCAGGCTCCTTTTTCAATCTGTATTGCACATTGTCAACCATGCAGCGATGCACAACCAGACATCTCCACCCACCCAGACACCTTCCTACTTCCCAACCAGAAGAATACCGTTGACCCCTCCCCCACCCCCAGATCCCTCTGTCAGACACTATCAAAAAGCTCCCACATACAAAGTGCTGTAATGACTGTTACATATTCATCACTGTCTTTTTCAAAGACTGCAGTTCTGCTGTGTGTATGTGTGTGTGTATTTGTATGAATAAGTGTGAAAATACAGTTATGCAGTTGCTCAGCTGTTCGTTTATAAGAAGTCAGCACTAAATATGCTGAATGAAAAAAGTTGAAGTTAAACATGGCATCAAAAATACATATTTATCGCAAAGGTACAGAGAAGCTTGGACTTGATTTTAGAAGATTTTAAACCTTGACTTTACAAGACACGGTGTACACACCAATTGTACCAGTTACACATTAATCAATATTGCAACTTTACATTTTTTAATGTACAGTTTGGAGGATAATATTGATTTAATGACGTGTTATTGTTTAGCAGCTTTATGGTTCAACACATTCACTTCTTCATTTTTGTTGTTCAAACAGCTGCATTACTGCTGCCTGTTTGTCACAACGACTTCATAAATGGGAGGACAAAGCATTTTGGCAGATGACCTTCACACTTCCCTACATATCTAGTTGTTTTCTAGTTCAAGAAATGAGGAAGTAACGCAATGCAAATATTATGTGGTGAATGTTTTTCTGGTAGGCATCTTTTTTCCATTGGTCATGCTTGTGAAATATTTCAATTTAAAAATATGCTTCTATAAACAAAACAGCGCTTCCAAATAAAGTTATCTTCATGGATTGATCAACAACGTCATTGTAAGTTATTCAGTTCAAAAGCTATATGTTATTTCCAGATACTTCTAAAAGACACTCATGAATATACTCAAATTATTTGAGGTTTTTTAAAAATGTTCTGCACACAAACAATCTGCCCATCAATTAAGAAACTTAAGTTTATATACTAGTGTCTTCATTCATCAAAAACTCTTCTTTTTATAAAATGATCAATTCATTGTTGCAGCTCAGACCCACATGGTTGACAACTGTTTATTGCCCATGTCCTGCAGCAAGAAGGTCCCAGCTTGATCCCTGGTGAGCTTTCACTAGAGAGTTTTAATTTTATCATTGTGTGTGTAGGTTTCCACCTCTTTCCTCCCAAGGTTTGAAAACATGCAGGAATATGTTACTAGGATACTCTAAATTGTCCATACGTTTAAGTCTAAGTGTGAGTTTGAATGGTTGTTTGTCTCAGTCACTGATGCTGTGATGGACTAGTACTGTTCAGGTTGGACACACCCTTGTCCGTACCTTCAGCACTCCTAGGACCCTGAAAAAGAAGTCAGATGAATCGTCCTGGCCAACGTGGTGATTGATTGTATTTGGTCCCCAGTTTGCTGGAGTTGCCTATAAAAGGGAAGAATTCCAACTGACAACCCTAAACAATGCTAGGCCCTTCATCTTACTGTGTCCTACTGTGGAGCGGAAATAAGTGGTATATACAGTATGTATATATATTTTGAAAAACAATGTAGGCAGAAATTCTTTGATTAGCCTGTGCAGTCCAATGGCAAGTTGAAAATAAAAAAAAAAATCTTGCCTATTCTTATTTTTTTTTCTATTTTATTCATATTTCTGTGTCACCTCACCTTTTCATTTTTGTCATATAACACATTTTATATCACATGTTGCCATTTGCAGTTGAACTCTTAGTGCTCTAAATGCTACTATTTTTGGAGATGGGTGGGTAACATGGTAGCAAAATAATTCATTTTTGGGTGTGGGCTGAGTGGAAGGATTGGTGGGGCCAGATTTGGCCCAGGGGCCACCATTTGAATAGTATCAGTCTATTATGTTGCACAGCAGAGTGGGTTGCCAGCAAGGCACACTTAAGCCCCTCCCCCCCGCAAGTCTTTGTGTGTGTGTGTGTGTGCATGTGTGTATGTGTGTGTGAGAACCCCTTCGCTGCCTGAACACTGCTGCTCTCTTGGCATTTGGAAGGAAATGAGAATGCCTTCAACAGCTGTAGCATAGCAACAGTAGCTCTGCCAGGTTGCTAGGCAGCCACTTTTCATAAAATGCCACCCTGGCCCCCCAAACCCATCCCCCACCCCACTTATCAGACTCTAAACCTTCAGCAGCTCTAGTCACTTTCTCTGGTTGTCATCCCTTGTGTGTTTGTTTTGTTCTGGTAGCATGGCATCAAGTTGCATTCCAGGTTTTTAGTTACTCCTGGTTTAAAGGCCCAGTGTGGAACAAATAGTGACATATAACAGTGAGATGGCAGAATGCAGCCAACGTCAGAGGATTCCTCCTCTTACCCCTCACCTTCTATGCCACGGCAAACTTTTTCACTTGTGGGCCACAATGGCAGGGGTGGCCGGGTCAGGAGCAGTTAAGTTAAATGTAAAAATCATTCATAAAGGCTAAAATGCTTAAATTCCTTTAGCCTTTTCTACGTCATCTATTGGGGAAATGTGGGCATTGCAGGGAAAAGGCAGAAGTATATTGATAATATAAAACAATTAGTCAAATAATTTTCATGTAAATCACTGTAAATATGTGTACCAATGTAAATACACTTAAACATATCAACTAGGTATACGTATATACAGTTTATCCATATACAATCACACAGGGCGTAAACATTATCTCTTGAAACCAGGGTCATGATGACATTGTGGTTCCAAAATTAAATAGTAAGGTTCACAAAAATCCATGTGCAGTGAGGCTGATCACATTAGTCCAATCAGATCCCATATCTTGCGGCCAGGTGATTGGCTGTGAAGCCTCAAGCGTTTTAACGAGTTTCTTCACTTCAGCAGGCTAGTGGGAAGAAGCACATGGAGCTTAATTATCAGGTAGAACATGAAGAGGAGGAACCATTAGCCTCAAAGCCAACGGCTGTACTGTCTTTTTTTAAATAAGCCACCCTCTTGCGTGTATATATATATATATATATATATATATATATGTATATATATATATATATATATATATATATGTGTATA